TAAAGAAAATCTGAAGTGGACAGAAGGTTTTACATTCAGGGCCAGATGAGTTTGTATAGTTTTGGTTATGTTATGTATTTGGTTATGTTTATTTCTGACACGACACCTGGGCACGTTGTTAAACTTGGACTAAACATGGCAAGCATGTTTTGGGCTCTGAAAGGCAGTGTTTTCATTGTTAGTATGACTGCAGCCAATGAAAGCCAAATTATTTAGCATGCTTCTTTCTTCCCAGAGACTTTCTGTTTCAAAAACAAGCAGGCTTAAAATTTCTATTGAAAACAGGACAGATTACTTATCACTGCTGAGATGTGAAATAACAGAGGACTTTGTGCTGACATCCAGGCAAGCAAAAGTCATTTTAATCTTAAGCTTGGCAAAACCAGGCCTGATCTGCACCACTGCTGTAGCTGCCCACTTGCAAGAGCTGATGAAATATTTTAAATTTCACTTGATGGAATCTGTAGTTAGTTAAATCCTGTATAATATTTATTTAGCCATAGTCTATAATGTTTACACAGAAAGCTATTCTTGGAAATGCTGGTTTTTATTTTTTTTTTTATTTTTTTTTTCTGACTGGATTAAATGAATTATATTTATCAGGAATTCAGAGAAGGAGGAATGTTTGGCAGACTGTTTTCTCAGATATAAATAAAGCGTTAACCAAGACAACATGCCTAAATTAGGGCATGTTTAAAAGAGGTAGGAAGGGGAGAACAGCTTTTTATTTAACACCATGCAGATCCTTTCATGTGAAAAGGATCATGGAATCATGGAATGGTTTGGGTTGAAAGGGATCTTAAAGCTCATCTTGTTCCATCCCCTGCCAGGGCAGGGACACCTTTCACTATTCCAGGTTGTTCCAAGCCCCATCCAGGCTGGCCCTGGGTGGGGAGGAAGGAAGGATGTTGGAAACACCACTAAGGGAATCACAGAACAGCAGGAATTGCACCACTAACTCCTTGGGAAGGGCTGGAATTTCAGGATAGAGCTGTGCAAGTGTAAACTGACAGCTGTGAGACCCTAACCCGGGGTTTGGCTTGTCCTGAAATATCTTGGAAGTCTGATATTCTGGGAGATGTGTTTTTCTGAGGACCTTTAGGAGAAGCAGAATCTGGTGTGGTGATGTGTGATGAGGAAAACCTGATGCTCCAGCAGGGAGCCACAATGGCTGCACATGGCTCATGCATCCTGCTGAACTGTATCCATTTGAGAAAAAGGACATAAAGAACTAGGAGAATTTCTTAAGCTATGGAATATTTACTTTTCTGAAGGGATGGGTTTCTGGATGAGCTTCTGAGATTGCAGTTCTGATGAAAATGGAAGGAGGGGCTGTTCTGGGTAAACCCAGCTCAGGGAGAAGAGGCTTGGGGGAAAATGTATCAGAGCACTGCAGGTGGAAAAAGGGACTTGTCATTCTGTATTCTTTTTTTCCTGGACTTCTCCAATTCCTGCTTAGCAGGTTTAGGGAGGGTAGTTTGATTTACTCTGGGTGGTGCAGAAACAACAAAATTCTTGGGAGGTTCAGTAACAACTTTTACTTGCCAGCGTTGGAACATCCTGGCAAAATAAGGCACGTGGCAAACTTTAACTTCTCCAGGCACAACAGAGGACTTACCAAAGCAGTGACTGGAATTGTTTGGTCTGGCTTCCAGAATACTTTGAGGAGAAGAACTGGACACAGCACTTGGAGCAGCCTCACCAGTGCCCATCACCTCCCTGCTCCTGCTGACCACATCAGTCCTGTGACAGGCCAGGTGTCCTTGGCCACCCGGGCACACGCTGGCTTCGTGTTCTGTTCCTCCAGTCCCCAACATCCTCCTACCCTCTCATCAATCAGTCTGATGGCAAACTGTTTATCCTGAAGTTTTAGGTTAAACCCAGCCTTTCCTCTTTCCAGCAGCCTGTGCTCTGAGATTAGAAGTATAACTTCCTGCAGGAGTGCCGAGTGTGGATTCAGGACCAGGCTCGGGCTGTTCTGCGGTACCCTGAGACACAGCAGCTGCCAAAAGCCAGGTCACACACCCAGCTGCACTGAGCTCTGCAGCAAAATTAAACAGTCATAACCTCTGAACGGGGTTTTAGTGACAGGGAATCTATAAATGCCAGAAGAACAGAGCAGTTAAAAAACCTGGTGTGTTAAATTGAGCTGGGATGGTAAAACAGGGCAAGCAAGTGCAGGTTTGCTCAGACATCACGTGTGTTTTCAGACAGCTCAGTGTGTTTTCTTGCCATGTCAGTGTGGTTTAAACACAACCCCGTGCCTGGAGCAGTGGTTCTGGTGGTTGTACTGGAGCTGGCAGTAAACAGCCCTGTGGCAGGGATGTGAGGAAGATCAGGAAGCAGCTCAGGATACAGTTATCAAGATGTATGTGCTCTTAGGAGGCTTGCTTCTCTTCACAAATTAAACTGGGACTGCAAAGTGTGATTTATCGGGGTTTTGGAGAATGTATGCTGAGGGAATCATGCTGTTTCTGCAATTAGGCTTTAATAAATAATAATAATAATGAGGTTTTACTTTTGAGCCAAGAAAAATCTCTCTACCATAGGCTCACTCTCCGTCATCAAGCTAAAGATGAAATAGAACCGAGTTCCAGAAAAGATACATAAATTTTTAGTGAAGCAAGTAGAGAGTAAAGAAAATAAAACTGAATTAAGCCAAAGGCTGGACAATTCTTGGGCTTGACACTTATTTTCCTATTTTTTAGGCCAACACAATTGAATTTTCCCAGAAATCTTTTACACAGAACTTCAAACAGATCAGCTCTTTGTGCAAAGCAGTTTTTGTCTGAAAGTAACACAGACATTTTTTTTTAAAAGCCCTAATTATAAGAAAAATTGTATTTATTGCAACAAAAGTCGAATCTCCTTTGGGATGGACTTGGAGTAATGGATGGTTGGGTCTTCTAATTTATCTAAGTCGTGCAGCATTAGAAAAGCAAATTCAACATATTTACACATGAAGATCTGTGGTCATTTTTTAGAGGGCTGACGTGATCATACATCAAAGGGACTTGACCTTTGGAGCTCCCTGCCTATCTATCAGTGGGAACCAATGTCTGCTTCCTTTGGAGACCAGGGAAGGGAATGTAGCATGGAAAGGAAAAGGGAATATAAAATCCCTGGAAAGATGAACCAATTTTTTTAAATTTTATTTAGAGTTATCAATTTTTCCCCCCACATCCTTTGATTATAAACTTGATAAAGAGCTATGAGTCAGAGTGCAGAGGAGCAAACATCAATTCTCTTGCTTTTAAATGGAGGTCAGGAACTGAATGCACTCGATGTGTTTGGTTTTAATTCCCTTCATCCCTCTGATAATATAGATTATATTATGCTCCCCATAAACCAGGCTGTTCACATCCTAGTTACCAGTTCCTCCCACACTGGCCACCATGAAATGAGGGCTTGGCTCTGAACCCTCAGATAACTGATGCCAGATTTAGATTTCCTTCCTAAGGACTGGACAGAAACGTCGTGGGATTTGACAGGAAACAATCCCTTGTTCTGCAAAAGGTGCCATTTCCAACTCATTTTCAGTACATCCCAAGTATTCAGGTCTGCACTAATTAAAGTCTCTGGGAATTCTGTCTTAAACAGAGGCAGAATTGGTACCCAAGCTTCTGTTTAGCTGTTAGACACTAAAGGCAGTAATCCCTAAGGTGTAACCTGTATTTAACATGGCAAAGCTTAGGTAAATGTACATTTTCCTTCCTAAAGGTAAGGTATTAATGTTATTTCTAACTGATATGAGATGTGTTCTCTAGGCACAATCACTTTTTAGAACCTTATAAAGCAGCTAAGGGCAATTCCATTGCTGGGCAAGAAAATCCCCCAAACTGCCTGGGAAAAGCCAAAAGCATGTTTTAAATCAAAATTAAATTATTAGTTTATAAATTAATCACTTAAGAACTGTAGAACATGGAAGCATAAATAAACTTAACAAATGCAGAGCAGTGCTGAATGTTTCTGTGATGTGCTGCTGCTTTACTAGAACTTTACTAGAGCTTGGTAAAAGGGCTGTGCTACTGCAGCTGGACTTGGGTGAGGCTTGACACCTCTTAGTGCCTCCAAAAACTTGGAGGGGGGCAAAAAAAAATGTCAACAGTAAAGAATTGATCCTATTTTTTGGGTGTTTGTTGCAAGGAAAGAGGAGGGAGGAAGAGAATTCTTGTGGAAAGGGTGCTTGAATTTTTTTCTTTCACCCCTGTGCAATTTAACTGACTGTGGGCAGCTGCTCACTTCCCTGTGCCCCTGCAGTGTGGTGCAAGGAAGATTTTGATTATTTTTATATGGACTTAAGAGAATATTGATGGATTAACATGCCAGTTCTTAGGTTTCTCTTCCCTCCTCTTAACATGCACAGGCAGTGGCTTGCAAAGGGGTGGGAGGAAGAGGATTTTGCTTCTCTAATTTAATTGAATATTAGGAAAAATTAATTATTTTACCCCACTGTAAGGGCTGGCAAGCATTGGAACAGGCTGCCCAGTTAAGTGGTAGAGTCACCATCCCTGGAAGTGTTCAAAAAATGTCTGGATGTGGCACCTGGGGACATGGGTTAGGGGTGGGTGTGACACTGCTGGGTCAATGCTTGGACTTGATGATTTTAGGGGCCTTTTCCAACCTCCACGAATTCTACTCCAGACATAAGGCAGCCCACCAGTCTTGAAATCATGACTCAGAAGCTGATTAATAAAATTTCCTTGCTGATCATGCCTGGGTCAAATTCCCTGGAACCCAGGGCAAATACTCCACAGCCAGTTTCCACATCTGCCACACACATTGGAGAATGTATGGACAGCACAAACCCATTCAGCAGAAGACAAATTGTGCTACTCCTGTGCCATTTATCATTTCAGCTGAGTTCTGTATTCCTTGGAGACTCTTTTTAAAATAGGAGGAATCGTAGAAATTAATTTCTCCTCTTGGGCTGAATTATAAAAGCCTGGAGAGCAAACAGAGTGTGGCATTTTATGTTCTCGAGGCACAGCCCCACTTACCATGCCCAGAAATACCATTTCCTCCTCCCTCAGCTTCTCTGTTTTCTTGCGCTGGCTGTACCCACGCCAGACCTGGATTGTAAACAAAACTCTAATGAGATAAATGGGCCTTGGTACAGCTTCCTTTTCTGGGGCAGACACAGGGAAAAACAAATAGAGGAAGGAAAGGCACAATATACAATTGAAACTATTGCTTTTTAACAGGTTGCCATCTGCTATATATATATATTATTTTTTAAACAAATTTGGAGGTTTGTTATCCCCTCATGCTGCTCTAGGTGGCTTCTAAGAACTGTCACTGCTTCATGAAGGTTAGACATAAGATTTAGGCTGAGCTCCTGCTCTCATCAGGCTGAGTTGTCTGAATTATTCATGTGCAAGAACTCTTTGTGGAATTTAGTGCTGAACCTCCCTCTGTCCTTTTTTCTAGATATGGAATGAACTCTTCCCCTGGAGATCACAGAAAAAGGCATGAATTCAGAGATGCACTGAATTCCAAGGGGAGGCCAGAAAGAGCAACTGAGGTCATAAAAATCAGAATGGAAAAACAACTTGCAAGTTATAAAGTCATCCTGCATTGCCAGTGCAGGACTGGTTCCATTGATCTTACATCTAAGGTCCTGTCTCATTTTTTAAAGTGGTTTCAATGACGTATTTCACCTTGCTGGACACCCTAAAAAGGATAATTTCAGAAAGCTTCCCATCCTGTGAGCTGTGTTTTTGTCTACAGCTGCTCTCCCAGACCAAAACATTGTCATTTGGCTTTGCCAGAACTGTTGCTACACAAGAAACTCACCTTTTGAATGCAAGTGGCAGCATCATCTGGACTTTTGCCCATCTCTTGCTCCTCTTTTTTACTTTGTCTTTTCTCTTCAAGGTAAATTCTCCTCATGAAGGCTGCTCGAGCGCGGCCCTGGCGAGCCCGTTCTGCCACCTGGATCACTTTAATGCCCTCTTCAAGTGTCATGGCTGTGACAGGTTCCTTCAAAATAAAAAAGGAATGAACAAAGGAAAGTTATGTTCTGTTAATTGCATGCCTCGGTTAGAAGATGACATCTTAGGAAACAAAGAGCAGAGATTCCTGTTGATGTGTGAAGAAAACCTGCTTTGCTGGGAAGCCACAGTGGCTCACGCAGCCCTGCTGAACTTGATCCACTTGAGCAAAAAGACACAACCATGGGGCTTTGTCCCTCTAAAAGGAGAATTTCTTAGGCTGTGGAATGTTTTCCTTTCCTTTTCTGAAGGGAAGGCTTCTGGAGGTGCTGCTGGGATCACAGTTCCTTCGATGGAAATGGAAGGAGGGGCTGTTCTGAGCCAGAGGGGAAAAATGGATCAGAACAGAAGGGACTCCCCCTTCTCACTCCTGACAGCCCTCATGCTCCCCATGGAAAAGCTGAGTTAGTGTCCTTTGATGGTCATCTCCCAGCTGGAGGCAGCTCATATTTAATTATTATGTACACAGTGTGTGGCACTTACTTTCAGCAGGGCTTTCTACGACAGGATTACACAGGATAGGTTTCCTGAACAGAATCACACAAACGCTGTGCAGAGCAGATTGCTGAGATGAACTCCACTGGTTTTGATTTATGTTGGGCTGCTCCTAACAGCACTGCCAGGGACACTGGAGAATTCCAGTTGGTTACACAGCAGCCAGCATTTCCTGAGAGGATGAGGTGCAGAAGTGCTGACAGCCCTGCAGCAACCCCAGTGGTGAGTGAGCTGGAAGTGCAGCACAGGGCGCTGGGTGAGGTTATTTTATTGCTCCCTGTAGCAGCCTGGCAAGGGAGAGCTGGACCCTGCCAGATCCTGGTGCTCTGGCTGAGCTGGCTGCTCACTGGACAACCTCATCCCTAATGGATGCCCCTCTGGAAAGCAGCAAGAGCAGAAGTCTGGGAAACAAAAAGTCTCCAGGATAAACTGTGCTGAAACAGGATCTCCCCAGAGCAATGTCAGGCGAGTACAAGAGCAGAGAACTCACCCAGAGCTGTCCTGTGGAGGAGCAGGGGAGCGCTGCAGCTGCCCAGCAAAACCTCAAGCAGGGAAGTCTGTGCTCTGTCTCTGCAGTCTGCCTGGGGCTGTTTCCATCCCTGTGGACTTCCCCTCTGTTATTTTGTGGGATCAACAGGCACAGTCGCTGCTGGAGAGCTCAGGGCAGCGGTGTGACTAAGTGGGCCATCAGCACTGTCTCTTACGGCTACAACATCCATGAATCCAAGTCATCCAGGCATGTAGGCACAGTTGTTTACTTGCAGGGGTCAACATGCCACTCCCAAAAGGTCAAAAGTATATCAAATCCAGAGCAGCCTTCACTGCAGCGCTCCTGTACTCCTCTGGAATGACTTTTGCTCTGCCAAAACTCAGTTTTCTGCTCCTCCCAGCAGCTGCAGCTCTGGAGCTGCACAGGGGAAACTGCACTCATTGTTCAGAGGTTATAAACAAGTGAATGCCAACAGTTGTGCTGACCTGAACTCCGAGTTCTGCCCGCTCCAGTGCACAGTCCTGGGCCAGGACAGCTTGGTTTCAGTAGGACTAATTGGATGATGAGGGTTAGTTGGACAAATAAAACAGTGACTTGGCCAAAGTGCTGCTCTTTCACACACAGAAGGCAGAGTAGAATAATCTCAGTCTTACCCGGACTTGAGATGTGACTGGATATTGTTTGACAGGGAAATCTAAGGTTTCTTTCTGCTCATGCCTTATCTGTAAACACACTTTTACTTCCTCACTGCTGTAAAAGCCCTTCTCACTTCAGTGTCTCGTGTTCAGACACATGCAGCTGAAAACTAAACAAATCCAATATGACACACAGGTATGGGGTACATTTACCTGCTCTAGCAAACCAGCATTCAGCAAAATCTCATGCAGGTATTTCTCCCTCTCCTGCAGGATTCTCAGGTTTTCTTTCACAAAATACTTTGGGATGGGTATTTCTATGTCTTCCTGGAGGAAGAAAGTCATGAGATGCTTTTTAGGACTGTATTTAAATCACATCACTGATTAACTGAACACCTTTAAATGCGATAAAATAAGGGCAGAGGTGGTTGAATATTTTTTGAGTATTGGGGAATTTGACCTTTGTAACAGCTGCTGTTACTTTTCAATTACTTTAGGCCTAATTCAACAAAAACAAATAAATCAACCCAGTTTGTGAACCATGTGAGCCCAGAAATCTTTTTTCTTATAATGACTCAATTATATTATCAAATTGCTAAAATATTTGGCAGGGTTGCTAGAAATTTAAACATGATTTCCACAAAGCTGAATACCTTTGGTTGTGTGATCATCCCACTTCTTGTTTTAATCAACATGAAAAATAGATCTGTTCTCTTGCCATTTTTTTTTTACCATTATAAGGAACCAGAGCACAATTCTCGGGTTTTTTAAAGGGATTTTGAGCTGTAGACAAACTGTCTGCCTGTGACTGTGGTATCTCAGACACTTCTTAAAATCAGACATGACCAGAAGTGCCTGTCTTTACTAATTTCTGTAATTAAAAATATGTGACTGATTGACATTTCTCCCAGTGTCATTCCCCATTCTCTCAGCTGCACACTTAGGGAGATCCCTACCATGACACCACAAGAAAGCTTCCAAGTCAGGCTGTGCTTATATGATTTTGTCAGTGCAGAGGTCTGGTCTGATAAAGTTTCTAAATATTTATCTTGCTAAGCTCCCTGTTTGCACCTTCCAACAACCCTTGGTAGCTGATGGAAATGATTACATGCTGTACTCTGAGTGCAAATCACTCTGGGTGGATTAAAATCTGGAGGGATAAGAAATCAAGGGGTTTGTCTGGACATCCTCCTGTAGGATGACAGGATTTTTAGGCTGCCAGGGAGCAGAGTCAGTGCAGGAGTATCTCTGATGTCTCACCTGGCCTTTAATTCCAAAATTGTGAGTTTTACTGACTGGAAAAAAGAGATCAAAGCCCCAGTGCCAGGGCTGGAAGGGGTGGGGAGCCTCCTTCTCTTCATAATCTCTTCTTGGGGCCCACCACTGAAAAATCAGGCTTGAGATGTTTAACCTCAAGTCAAATTTGTGCCTTTTTAGCCACTCCCAGCCCCACATGAGATTTATGGATCCAAATACCTTCACAATTACCCCAGGAAATGGAGTGACTGGATGTTGGAAGGCAACTGCACAAAAACATGAGGTACAGAACTGGAGACATAGGAAAGCTTAGCCTTGCAATGACACAGTACAAAATAGGCAGAATCATCACAATAAAATGTTGTGTCCTCTGCCTTCAATCCTGCAGGATTTTAGCACTGATTATAAAGGGAAAGGAATGACTGGAGTTATCCATTCTGGGCAAATCCTTTGAGAAACAGGAGTTATTTGTCCAGTAATTTTGTTCTGTTATCAAGAATATTTTAATATTTTATTAAAACGAACACCCCATTAATCTATATTCTTATCTAGTAGGGAAATTTTTTTCTTTGAAAAAACCTGAAATCTCCTCAGTGATTGATTTCTTTTGTGGTAGGTAGGTATGTTAGGCCTTCTTAAAATTAAGGTGTGGTGCAGGAATTTGAATTTATGCTTGCTTTTGAGGAGATGTCAGGCATGACTTCTCAGACTTGCCAACCTTTTGCTGCAGATGGATTTACTGCTGAGTCATGAAAACAGCAGTGCTAGGGATTTCAAAATATGATTTGAAGGATTGTTTTCCCTGTGAGATGTGTTTATACTCTCATTTTAAAAGAGTGATAAATGTTGACGGTAAAGGGCTGGTGGAAATTCCTGGCAATTCCTATGCTAAATCTGCAGATGTGCAGTGGCAAACAGAAACACGTTTGCAGATCTCAGAATGATGCTGTAGTGATATCAGGCAATTGATCTCAGAGCTGGGATCCTAAAAAAAGCAGGAATTCCAGCTGGTTTTAGCAAAGCAGCGGTACCTGAATGTGACAATAGATGGAGCTGTCTGCGAGAGAAGCAACACCCTTTGCCAGCTCATTTTCTTCTTTTTAATTTGCTTTTAAAGCACAGCTTCCACACTTTTCCTCACTGTCACATTCACCGTGCTGATTTCACCGTGCTGAAGGGCAGCATGCAGAGGACTCTACTTTACTTATCAGTGGCCCATTTTCTATCCCACCCCACATTAAAATCTGGCAGAGCCAAGCTCCTGACACATAACAGCAAAGCTGTCAAGTTATGACTGACAAGAGAGTAGGTTTAGATGGGTTATTGGGCAGGAATTGTTCCCTGTGAGGGTGGGCAGGCCCTGGCACAGGGTGCCCAGAGCAGCTGTGGCTGCCCCTGGATCCCTGGAAGTGCCCAAGGCCAGGCTGGATGGGGCTTGGAGCAGCCTGGGACAGTGGAAGATGTCCCTGACTGTGGCAGGGGGTGGAATGAGATGGCCTTTAAGGTCCTTTCCACCCCAGACCATTCTGGGATTCTGTGATAAGTAATAATATGGAATCATGGAATGGGTCAAATTGAAAGGGACCACAAAGGGTCACCTGGTCCCACCGCCCAAAGACTCCCCTCCCTTGCTGAGAAAGGTGAGCACCATCTGATACCAGCACTCCTGGCACTGCACAGGCCATTCCACCGTCAAAACCCCCAAAATTATGGTGGTGACATCAGCTGGGGAGCCATCTGTTTCTTTCAATATTGCTGCTTTCAACTGGAAGTGTCAGGCAAAAATAACTTGTGCCCCAGAATTCTTTACTAAATGTCCCAAAGCCCTGAAAACTTTTGTGATCACCCTCAGGCTATGTGTTACCCTTTCCCTGCCCTCTGCATGGAAGATCATGTCCATGGGCTGTGAAAAACTTGGAAGTTTCCTGGTGACCCCAGAGAGGCAGCAGGCCCTCCCTAAGGGCGGCGTTTGTTTGACACATCAGGCCTAAGAATAAAACAAAATCTTCCCTGTGAATTAGCTGATAATGGAGGCAGCCCTACCGGGACACGCTTCAGATCCATCAGGATGCCGTCCAGGCAGTGACACTCCGAGTTCTCCAGGGCCACCATCTCTTTCTTGATCTCCAGGATGCGGCCGATGACCCCATCCAGCACCTGCCGAACCGCCGCCCGCTTCTGCTGGTGGATGAGGTGGTCGTGGGCCGCCTCCAGCTTCCGGAAGATTTCCAGATATTGGATGTAGGCAGTGGCCAACATCTTCATCGCTTTCTCACGGTCCTCCTCTGGCTCGAGGAACTCCTCTCTTTCTCTCTGGAGCATGGTGTCCAGCTCTCTCTGGGTGTCTGCCCACATCTTGATGTAAGTGCTGGTTGGAAAGAGGAGATTGTGTCAATCTGACGTGAAAGCGAGCCTGGAAGTGTGAGCCATTACATTTATAATGAAATTTTTAACTAAAAAGTATTTTGAAAACCATTAGCAGAAGTTTCTGAGTTTGTTTTAAAAGTAGGAATCTTAAAATGCCGTTTTATTAAAACAAACTTAAAAGGTTAAAGCTTTTCAGCTTCATTCTAAAACGCTTGAAGCATCCTTCAAATGCTTGAAGTTACAACCCCCAACAGTGCCAGGAGTTTTAGTCAGTTGTGCTAATTGAGAAGATGGTTTAATTGAAAAGGTGTCTCCCTCCAATGCCTTTTAATAGGGGAAGGACTATTTGAGGCTCTGCATTTTTGGGATGATGACCAATTCATGTTTCTAAAGCTGTTCTGCCTTTCTGAAGTGGTTGCTTGGAGTTAACTGCAGGGTAAGGGTGGGGTTGGTGCCAGTGCTGGAGTGAAGCTGTGGGCCCTAATTCAAATGTGAGGTCAGGAAAATAATTTGATTTATTTCTATGGTAGCAACTGTTGCACTCCAAGGAATTGCTAAATATCTGGTCTGGTGGCTATGGAATTATGTGGCATGGAAGCTGTCATCTCAGGCCATCTCCATTTCCAGAAGCAATAATGCTGCTCCCTTGGTAGGTTTGGTAGGAAGAGGTGGAGTTCTGATGTGAGCATGGAGTGGTTATCAGTGGCTTTTTACGGGAAAAACAGCTCAGAATATCCTGGGGGATCAGCCTAAAGGAGCAAGAAACAAGCAGTGAAGTTTTTATTCAGCAGTGGGCTCAAACAGCAGGTTTGTCATGGAAGGTGTTAATAAAACCTGTGGCAGTGAAGACACTTCTAGGTCCTGTTCTCCTTTGCCAGATGGAGACTGTTGGCAGTTTTAAGTGTTAAAAATCTTTCATCTTTGAAAATGCCTCTCTAGGAACAGAGCAAGGAAATTCCTTCTGCACTGAGACTTGGTTGTATTGGGAGAAAACCCGTTGATGCACATTGTCATGCAGAGGGGAAAACAGTGGCTATGGAAACAGGGACAGCTGACTTGCTCCTTAATCCTAGGAAGGAAGGCCATTGGCCTCGATGGTGCAATCTAGACCCATCCATGTGCTGAACCAAGTTGCTGTTTCTAGGATGAGAAAAGGCTCTGCCTTTTGTTGGATGAGCTTTGAGAGCAGACCTTGCAAGGCGGGGGTGTTGGTGTATTTATCGTGACCAGAGAGCTGGACAGATGTTAGCATTGTTTGTGCATGATAATAAATGCTGGAGCTCTGTGAGCTGATTTTATCATTCCCATCCTGGAGGTCAGAGCGACCCAAGACTTGTGCTGCAAGAGGAGGGATGTGTGGGCTGGCACAGGACAAACTCCAGCCCTCGAGTGCCCTGAGCACGGGGTGCCCTGCATGCCCTGGGTGGTGACAGTCAGCAAAAGCACCAACAACCCAAACGCTGCTATTGAATTTTCACCATTAACATTTTAAAGGGTGTGTTATACTCTTCAGCTGAGCTGGCTTTCTGCAGGATGCAGCTGGCCTTGCTTTTCCTAATGCTTCTCCAGCCCACCCAGGTCTTTCCCCTTCCTTTTTTTCCCCCCCTACTTCATTTACATCCCATTGCACCACCCGTATCAGTCAATTGCAGCAATTAACCCAGGTGCAGGAGATAAACAGAACAATCCGTGCAGAAGGGAGAAGATGGGGACAAGCAAGGCCAGCACTGAGCTGGGACACGGAAGGATGCGAGGCATGCGGGTTTTGTGTGTACTTTGCATGATTTCTGACAGATAGTGCAGAGGTTGTCAGCCTCTGAGGAAGCCCAGCCCTGTGGGGTGTCCCCACAGCCATCCAGCTGATTTCTGAGTCCTGGGGATCCTCGGGCTGGAGCCTTTCCCGTGCAGGTTACCGCGCGGAGACGCCGGACCGCGCCGCACCGAGAAGCGACTGTCCGCTCTGATTTATAATAATCTCCCTCTCTGCCTCCTCTGACTGAGGAATGTCAAGTGGTTCCTCCTGCTGAGCCAGCTAATATCCAGTTTCTTTTTATATTGGGAATGGCTTGTGGAGGGAGGAGGGAGCTGGAGCACTGCAGCTTTTCGGAGGACGTTACCATGAGGCACTGCAGATAGGACGTAATTGCTTCCATAAAGCATCAGTTTATCAGATAAGCACTGGGATGACTGCAAGCACGGTTGCTGCGGGTCAGATGTTAAGACTACGGATATTATGGGATGGTCGTGGCTTTTGCAACAGCATTTTGGGTAAATGAGGGCAAGAGAAAGGACGGGCCCACTGGAAAATGAAGTGCTGAAGGCAAAGGTTGATGTGAAGGTGATAAATTTGTAGCTGATAATGCTGTGTACCTGCTGTGTTCAGGGTGACTGACACCTTGGGGGACTGACCCCCAAGTTTCTTAGGCAGAAGATGGGGACATCAGATACTGGGTAAGAGGACAGGGCAAGCAGAAACCTGATTTGAGCATTGCATTGCTTCACCCTGATTAAAAACTAGAGGACAGATCCCCAAAATAGGATTAAAATGGTTATTTCAGGTTTTACTGGTGCCCAAATGTGAGCCCTTCTGGACTAGTCTGAAGGATGAGATGTGCCTGGTGTTTGTAGCACCTTTTGGGGGACTTGGCAGAGCTGCTGTGAAGCAGATGAGCCCTTCAGCTTTAGAGCTCAGGGTAGTCAGGAGGAGTAACTTCAAGGTTACGCCTTAAAAGCAAAGGAGAGCACTGCCTCTCCTTGCCTGTGAGTCAGACAGCGTGTGATCCCTAGGTCCCTACTGGAATTTTTGCCTATTTGCCAGTGTCCCTTTGCATTAAGTTGTGAACTCCCTCAAAATTGCTTCCACACGCTGCAGGGGGAGGACAAGGTAGCCTTGAATGCACTGGGTTTTTATTTACTGTTACTGGTCCACCTCACAGGCTCACTTCTGTTCTGAGCTGTGTCTGTGCCCAAGGATATGCCATCAAATTCAGGTTGGATTAGAGCTTCTAACTCACCTATTAGTGCAGGTAATTAGCAGGACTGAGCCTAACTTTCCTATTCAAGGCTTAAAAAAATAAAATGCTGGAAAAGAAAACTGTCTCTTAATCTCTCTGTGCATAGAGCACTGTAAGTAATGCTACAAATTGTCATAGCAACTCCCAAATAGGGGTGTTATGGGGAAAGTAAGCAATGCTGTAACGGGATGAGGAAGAAACACATCAAGTGACTGAACTCCAGAGTCCCCAGAGTGATTTCTGGCAGCTCACAGCCTGGAGGGAAGGTCACAGCTTTAACTCCTCACTGATGTCCCTTCTCTGCACTCCCACAAAGTAGAAACAGAGCCTAAAACATGGGCTTAAGAAGTTTCTTTTGCCCATAGCCTGATTGCCAGTTCAAATCTCCCTTTTATTGCTCAAAATAAAGCCTGCTCTCCTTATTTAGAGTGAAGCTTAACAACATAGGGGTTTTTCTCCTGCTAAAGTTACAGAGATGTTTAAAATCCTGCCAAATTGTACGTGCCTTGTTTCAGTGTTGTAGGGCCCTCTAACTTTGCATGTTTGCTTGACCCATCTCTCCTAACACTTGGAAAAGCTTGTTGGTTTTGAGTCCAACTGAGGTGAGCCTGCTTACTGGTGTTGGACTGGTTTTAAGGCTTAAGCATGCCCTTCTTGGAAGGGTTTGTGCTGAGCATGCAGACTGTCCCTCAGGCCACTCCTGAGCCAGGAGAAGAATCTGGCATCAGTGGGGTTACCTTTGTGTGGCTTTTCTCCTTCTCCCCAGAGCGTCTCTGTGTTTTACTCACTGCCAAAGGAACACTATTCCTGTTATTCCAGGACATGGCACAGTTTGTCTCTGGCTTCTTTGATGCCTGGTTTTTCTGGGCTGCCCTCAGGAATATCTCCAGCCTTCCCACGCTGAAGCAGCAGTAGTGCAGCGCTGTGTGGGTCTCACTGGTTTATCCTGAGGGATGGAAGGAGGTGGAAGGGAAAACATTTGACTCTGACTCCAGCTTTCCTCACCTCGTTTGGAAACTCCTGTGTGATTAAAGGAGCGCTAAATGGCGTGTGTTAAAACACTGCTGAAGGAACCTCTGCTGCCACTGCAAACCCACCTTGGATTTTTTCTCACAAGTGAGACTGGGCTGTGCTGGGGGCTGCAGAAAGCGCCACAGGGTTTGTGAGCTCAAGGGGATGTGGAGCAGGGCTCAAGGAGCCTGGCACAGAACACAGGGGCAGAGGGGACCGAGATGTGGGGTTGGTGACAAGGAAGTGCACACAGGGGCCACTCCTCAGGGTCCCCTCACCACACTCAGAGCCTGACAGGTCAGGCATTGTGCTAAACCCTGGGCAAACACGGGGGAGGGAAACCCTGCCCTGCAGCCTCTGCAAAATAAAGAAACAAGAGACAAAGGTTGGGAGGGGAAAGTGAGGCCCTGAGAGGAAAAAGGGTTTTTAATGCTGCTGCTGATTTTCTTTTTTTTTTTTTTCCTCTCTTTCTAAAAGTCACCAGGTTTAGGATGACTGCTGGCTGATTCAGGTCAGCAGTTACCTGTTCCCTCACAGGTACTGCGTGGTGATTACATTATAGGAGTAGCCCCTCTTTTCTCTTTTGTCCTATTATAGGCAAACATTTTCTGTGTTGGAGAGGCCCAGGCAGAATCTGAGATGAGTGTGGCCTTATGACACAACCTGTCTGAGTTCAAGAAGTGTTTGGACAATGCCCTCAGGCACAGGGTGGGGCTCTTGGTGTGTCCTGTGCAGGGCCAGCAGTCGGACTGATGTCCCTGGTGGGTCCTTTCCAACTCAGCACTGATTCTGTGAACCAAACTGACTGAAATGTTGTCGGAATTAATTGCTGATTTCAAAGCCTTTAGCCTGCAGTCTGGAGCAGTTCAGGCTCGTGAGCCTGTTTAAGCCTGCCTTGCTCCCAAAATAAGATTAGTCTCACAATTATGCCAAACTTCTCAGCTGGTGGTGAATGTGACTCTGCCAGATGACTTTT